TACAACCATCACACAATATGGTTATGTTGGAATATTTTTACTATTTAATAACAGACAAAGTGGATATTTTATTTTGGAATCAAAGTGCTGTTATGTAGATTTATGGTTTATAAGGTTGGCAGTGTTTCTGAGTATTTTCCAAAGTACATAAATATAAAGTGGTAAAAGTTTTGTTTTTAGCTTATAAATGTAGTTAATCATCTGTTCAAACAATAAAAAGTTCTATTTATTAATGGCCAAGCAATGGTTAGGGGGTTTTGCTTTTTCTTTTTACAAGACACTCATTTAAGGCAACTGGATGAAATGAATAGACAGTGAATATCACAACGGTTTAGAGGGGGATCATGGCACACCACTTGATCATGTGGAACTTCAGGCATTAATCCACTGAAGTCATTACTGCCTCTGAGTCTTACTTAAAGGTCACAGTCTTTTTAAAGGACTTAGCTGGTGAGCAGAGGAACTCTTGGTGTTTGATGCCTCCCGTGTGTGAACAGGTGTGAGCTCCCTGCCTGCCATGTTCAGGTATGTTCCCCACTTGGAATCTGCAGCACTGAATAGTGGGTGGGCAGTAACGTGCAAGAGCTCTTGTGGGCTACAGGAGGATTTCTATTGATCGTTCTTTTCTTACATCCTGGTTTTTATCATGGTTACAGTATATGCAAACATGTCAGGCAATTAGGCATGTGAAGACCTGGCTCTGTGTGATTATTTGACTTCCTGCAACTAATAATGAGATTTTTGAAAGATTTAGTGCTATGCCATTGAATAAAAAAGAGGATCGGAGGCCTGTATGTGCAGTGGGGTTAGGTGTGGTAGATGAAATTTGTCCTGGCATTCTTACTGAAGCCTTCCTGTAGGCACTATCCGCTGCAGTCGGCACTGTTGCCAGAAATAACATTGCAGTGTCAGAAACATGGGTGTTTTAAGGGTATAGCCGGGGGACTTAAGTGTTCACTTGTTTAACTTCAAATTAATAAAGACCCACAAGATTCTTTTTCTTTCCCAGATTGTTGTCATTTTAATTCTTTTTAATATCCTTCATAAATACTGCTGGCATCCAAATTACATATAACTACTTAGGAAAAAGCTTAAGTATCATTGTGGCACATTGAAAATACCCCCTTACATGTACAGTAACAGCCTAAAATGAAATAAATTCCCTGCAGGATTGAGAGGAGAGGAAAGAATCCTTAAGATACAACTTAACCATCATGTCAGTCAACATTATGCCCCCACTTTGAACAACGTGTTCTCTTTCAGTTGTTAGAATTTCTTTTTCTGTTCTTTTTTTTTTTTTTTTTTATGATAATATGGACTAGGAATGATCAACAAAAGTTCTAAATTATGCACAGGCTATTCCCATTGAATACTGCAGTAATGATTCCTAGCATAAGAGTGAGTTCTGATTCTCAGAAAGTTATACGATGATTCTGAAATTCCTGGAAGAGTCCAGTTCTTCACGTAATTTACTACCTCTTTCCAGTAAGACTGCAACTGTGAGAATAAGGCCACTTGAAATCAGCACACACTTGACCTCTGTGGCACTAACTTCTTCTGCACTCAGAGGCTGGCTCATAGGCCCAGGCACTGGACGCTGTTCAAAGATAGGTGACCCTGAGATCAGACTGAGACAGCGCTATTGGGAAGGAACAACAGGATAAATTAAAAACTAGTAACCCCAATGATAAGTACTTCAAAGGACTGCCCTGTTGAAAGCTTCAGTACCTGCTGCATGATGTCATTTAACCATCAACTGTAACTGCATAGAATTAAGACTATCATCTTTTCTATTACATTTGTTGTCTTTAATGAGATAATGCATATTCACTTAAAGATACACTCCTGCTTATTTCTAAAAAACAGACTCACAGGGGCTAATCCTTACACTTCATTGTTCCTGCCATTGTACTGACTGAGTCTCAAAAAGACAGGAACCATTAGGTTTCCCAAATAGTTATATTAATAGTATTAATAATCAGACTAGTAGAAATGAAGTAATTGTAAAACTTGCAAAGACATTTTAATTTGTGCAGGTTACTTTTTACGTTTCTCGTTTTGAACAAACTGCAATTCACCACTCAATGTCAGTGTGCTTTATAGACCACTTCTGTGTGCAGGTTTCTGTATGCATTGCCTGTGTTACAAATAGTACTCATAATTTTTTACATGTCTTTTCTTCAGAACATGGAAATTAACACAACAGCATTAGGTTTAGCTTTAGAAAAAGCTTTTTTTCAGTCTAAAGGTATCTTATGGTGTCACTTTCAATCTCTCCTGTGAAAGTTAATTTTCTTTCTCTTGCTTCCTTTTATGTTAAAAAACTTAAATAATTTATTAGCACAGAGGAATGTGTGCTGAATTCAGTAACCAAAAGAGGATGTGGAAAGATTTATTGGGAGAAACATTAAGAGCATTCCTGGCCAGGTGTATTTTATTTCTTTTTCTGTGAAATGGGGGGAAAAAAATATACGCCTCCAGCCAACATTAGATATGGCTGGAAGCCCATTTGGAAAGTAGTGTCTGTAACTGGGAAGTGTTTCCTGAGAGAAACTGGACCAAAAGCAATGAGGACACAAAGAGATTGGCATTGCTGAACAGCAAATGTGCGCCAGAGCTTGAAAGCGACTGCAGCGTTTGCCTTCCGAGTGGGTGTTTGCATATGACTTCCGCTCTCCTTGTACCTTGCACAGCAGCGTATACCCATGGGAAACGAGGAGCGAAACTTCTGCCAAACTGGAGCAGTGGATTCTTGAGTTCCTCTTTGCATCCTCGGTCTGTGACAAAAGGTTCTGAGGGAGCAGGACCTGAGTACATACACTTGTGCACTCCTTGCTTAGCAGAAGGAAGTGTCACTTTGTGAGCAGCAAGACACAGCTGGGGTGAACGTCTTTAGGACATTTTTTCAAACACTGATAAGTATTTTTACTGCATAATAGAATATATATTACATGAATTTGTGGAGAGTGTAATCTTTTGGGGGGTTACAAACAGTGACACCTTAATTATTTGATGATTTTTATGACAAAATTCCATTGAAATACAAATATAATTTATCCAGGACTTATAAAGGAATGCAGTATAAACTGTAAATTTCTAATTCTATCCTCTTACCTCTCTGGCACATTTCCTGTGATTTACATACAGCCCAAAGTTAATAAGAGCATTATAGAATCACAGAACAGTTTGGGTTGAAGGGGACCTTTAAAGGTCCTTTAGTCCAGTCCCCTGCAAGGAGCAGGGACATCTTTAACTAGACCAGGTTGCTCAGAGCCCCGTCAACTTGACCTTGAATGTTTCCAGGGATGGCGCATCCACCACCTCTCTGGGCAACCTGTTCCAATGTCTCACTACCGTAATTGTAAAACATTTCTTCTTTATATCTAGTCTGAATTTCCCCTCTTTTTGTTTAAAACCATTACCCCTCGTCCTATCACAGCAGGCCTTGTGAAAGTGTCTCTCACTGTCTTTCTTATAGGCCCTCTTTAAGCACTGAAGGGCTGCAGTAAGGTCTCCCCAGAGTCCTCTGTTTTCCAGGCTGAACAAGCAAACTCTCTCAGCCTTTCCTTATGGGAGAGGTGATCCAGCCCTCTGATCATTTCCTCTGGCTATGCTTCAACACAGAGTGTTCCAGGGACACTTTTCCCTTTCAGTTTTTCCTTCAACCCCAACTTCTTAGTCCCCAGCCCCCCTCTATGTTAGCTGAATAGGCGGGCCTCCTCATGAATAGCCTTACTCCTTAAAAAAGCAGTTTTAAAAGTTTTAAATTTGTGTAAGTTGTTGAAACCATTTCCTCTTTCTCCATTACTCCAAGTTTATTAAACATCCTATACAAATTCTTCCTTGATGCAGCATCTTAGAAAAAATAGTGGTGAAAAATATAGACTCAAACTGCTCCATCCTTCTGCCCGAGGCAGGAAGCTGTACCTGCACCCCGTTTTACGTGTAAACAGGTCGCATGTTACAGGACCCTAATGATGAGTTTCCTTCATCTGTCCAATAATCTGTTCCATTGTATACCAGTCCCTGCTGTTAAAACAACTCTCCTGACTTCTTATTGCCCGGTTTAAGTTCTGTTAAGTCTATTGCTTCCAGTTCTACTCATTGTGGAGAACAGCGCTTGCTTTCTCTTTGTAGCTGCCCTTCTGTATTTGAAAATCTTCTAGATTCTCTCCACAATTCTGTAGACCTTTCTTTTCCTCTGTTGCTTCACAGAAATTGTTCTCTCCTATTTCCTTCTCTGGGGATGTGTCCTTGCCTGGCTACACCTATTGCTATTTTCCCAGTGTGCAAATGAAAACATTACTGGTCGCAAGATGCCAGTCTTTTATAGTCGGTGCAATTAGGAAAACTTGGCAGTTTGACAAAGGGCTCTTTCAAATGTGAGTTGGAGTGCTCAGTTAGCAGCACAGAATCAGTCTCATTTTATTACTTCTTCCTGTGTTGGTCTCTATACTACTCTTTGAAGTTATTTGATACAAAGATCAGTCTACGCTACTGAAGTCCCAGTGCTTAAATGTCTGTCTGAGTTTAAGTAGTTTGTAGACTTCAGAGAGGATTCAGTAGGTGCTTGAAGTTACAAGTCTTTAGCTATGTTACCGAATTAAATCCATTTTGTTCCAATGTTTTCAACCCCAAAATTTTTTTACTACTTTTTAGATCTTAAAAATCAGTTAGGAAGGAAGTGATAGAATCAAGCTTCTGTTCTGGAGGTCTCTGGATAGATGGCATTAGTTCTAGCAGTTAAAATACATTCCTTAAAACATAATTTTGCTTGTTAAATCATCATGGAGACTGGAAAATGGATATTACTATGGAATTGTGTTTCCTTAAAATGTAAGTTTTAGAAGTTCTTCTTCTAATAAGTACAAATTTTGAGTTGTTTTTTGTTTTTTTTTTAACAATGGTAATTTTGCATACTTGAAAACTAATTTTAAATATTTACCTTTTCCATTTTTGTAATCATATTGTTTTCCCTGCTCCCTTTTTTCTTTCCCTAGGACTGTTTGCTGCTTCAGGAGACAGTAAATTCTGCTGCTGCTCTTATCCTGGCATTAATAATGGACAGAAACCCAGAGCTGATTGGCCAGCTGTTGGTAGCATAAGACCATAAATCTTGTGTAGCTTTTGGAAATGTTTCTTTTTCCTCATCCATTCACCAAAGGTCTTGAATCATTTTACCCTCTGATGAAAACTCTGGATTTATGACATTTGCTATTAAGATCTTTTTACAATGTATTTTTGATACTTAAAATGCAAGTCTGATATTATGTATAAAGTGTAAAATGGTATACAAATAATTCTGAGATACACTGGGTACTTACTGTGAGGAATGGTACTGAAATGTTTTTGTGAGGTAAATGTTCCATCCCTGGTGGTGTTCAAGGCCAGGCTGGATGATCTTGGGTGATATGGTCTAGTGTGAGGTGTCGCTGCCCATGGCAGAGGGATTGGAACTAGATGATCTTAAGGTCTTTTCCAGCCCTAACCATTCTGTCATTCTATATGATCATTTAAAAACGTGTACTGGTGACACCAAAGCATTCATGCAGAATTGTCTTTAACCCATGTGTGTGTGTTGTACTCTAGGACTGCATGAATTAAATTTAAGATAAAATAATCCCAAAGCACAGCTCATCTTCTTTATGTTAAATTATTTTAAATTTGCTTCTATATCTATTAGTGGCTGTAGAGTTCATTATGTAGTGTAGCCTTCCTGACATCCACAGAAATGATGTTGCAAGAAGTATTTGAAGGGTCATGTCCCTGTCCTCCATGGAATGAAGGTAATCTCCAAACAAAGAAAATATACGCATGGGAACAGCAAGGTGCTAACCCCTAGTTTTGCAGATGCAGTATTCTCTGGCTGTGGCGCTCCTTACTGCTACACTTCTCCCAGTAGCCCTGTGCCATCATTCAGAACTAGCTCCAGTGAGTACCATATTACGTATACCCTTTGTGTTTGCACGTGTATGTATGTGTATGCATGTATGTGTGTGTGCATGCTTAAAGAAAAAGGGTTAAGACTGAAAAAAAGTTTCAGAACCCCCTCTGTAGGTAATGGAGAAATAAGAAGGTTCTGTTAGCTTATCCACAAGAACACAATTTTCCTCTCTCGCTGGTTAGCATGGGTGTGTACTAAGTACTGGTGAAGAGAACTAAGTGTGATGAGTTCAGGTATGTGCTATTGACATACAAGTGTGGAAAGTTGGGACAGGAAGGTCAAATGTTGAATGGTCATTTCATGGAGTATCTCCAGGTATCACAATCACTAATAGCAATACAAGAAGTGGACAGTCCCTGAAAACACCTGGCACCCCCTATGCATCAGACTCAGGGATTCCAGCTTTCCTCCAACTTGTGAAGAGGCTAGGTTAGTGTCTTGTACCTGTCATGACTGGAGTAAGGTCTAAAGAATATCCCCACCAGATGCATCCAGTGAGTCCCCCATTAAGGCTGTCCTGAGCAAGAGCACTGTTGGTTCAGCAATTTTCCCTGTGAAACCAGCATTCCTCCCCTTACTCCCACTATCTTCCACACCCTCTGGTGCTCAGACAAAACTTAGAATAGCATGGTCTGTGTTCGGTCCCCTTCCCCTGAGTATATCTCAATTTTAAATCCCTTTAGAAGCTGATGTTGATCCCAAACTTCCTCTACTGCACAATAAAAAGTTGTTAGCCGACTGTTCTGTATCCAAAGCCCCCATTTTCTTCCACACACAAATCATCCTAAGACAACCAACAAAGTTCTCTTGCGTCATCTGCTTTCTTCTTTGCTTCACTTTTCTCCCTACTTTGATTAATAATCTGTCCTTTTCTGACATTGTACAACGTAAGCATTCATATTAGCTCACTGTATACAACAGGCATATTTTATTCATATATATATTCATATATGCATAGTATGCAAATAAATGAAGAACTAAAGAATTTATTATTGATATGCATAATTTAGCAGGACAGCTTTCACAAATAATTTCCTTAATTCTCTTTTACATTAATAAATTTGATGAAGGAATTTGTCTCACAGGCTTTTAAAAGACACAATGAGAGATATCTCTTTGTAGTTTGTGATTCCTCTTCACTTGAAGATTAGAATACATACAATCTGTGATATGTTTTTCTCAAATAAGAAGCAATTCAATTTAGAAAATTCTTGATGTTTTCCACTCTAAGTTATAATTGTGGTACTTCCTTAGCATTGGTGTGTAAATTGTCATATGCTTAAACAGAACCTTTTACTTTGTGGGGTTGTTTTACTTACCTCATTCTTTTAGAACGATTTCAATCCAATTTGAAAAGTTACTGTAATGAACTGCTGTAATGGGAAATTGTATTATGGTTGTTTATGGACTTATTTTAAGAAGAGAACAGATAATGCACAACAGAAAGCAAGTTTCAGGTTATCAAACATACTTAGTACTAATCTGAAATGGGAGATAATGAGCTTTATTAATGTAGTGTTAATCCTTGTGTTACTTTTTTTTAAAATCTGTAACTATCTTTTTAAATAATGTACAAACATTGAGAAACCCATTTTGCTGGAAGCAAATACACCAACAGAGCCACTAAACTAGATCACGAAATACTAGAACTGCGGTAGGAAAAAAAAGAAACTGGACTGCGATTAATGCTATTGTGTATCCAAACCAAATTTAAATGGTCTTTGGGATGATTGTTAATACTTACAATGGGAATAAAGATATAAAATGAAATTAAGAAACGGGTTGATTGCTTTTTGTCTGTGCATAGTTTCTCACAAATAGCAATATACATGAGAAGCTTGGCAGTCTTTTGTATACACATGCTGTTTTGAATTTAACTAGTGAATCAGTCACCACCCATATTGCTTTGAACATTTGAACAGAGATAACACAGAGTAAATAAAAGCTCAGACTCTGCCAGCCTTGCTTACCTTACTCCTCAAGCACTCTGATTAGTATTCCTTGGGTAGTGTTCATCATAAAAGAGAATACAGAATATGGCCCTAGAAGTCCTTTTCATAACTGCAGAGTTGAGTGAATTAGATCTGTATATTGAAACTAACCCACTTCATGCAAAAATCTCAAAACTAAAGTCCTTCATTTGTCTTAGATCAGTAGACAGAAGAACTTCTAGTTACAATCTTTTTTTCTTCAGCTTTCCAGGCTACCTAACTTAAACAAGATGGCTTGATAGCCCTCTAAAAAGGCTGAATGAAAAGGATAGAAGATGGTGAAATTAAAACCAAAACTGACCCACCCCAAAAACAAACCGAAGAGCAAAGAGAAACAAAGCGAGTTGTTACACTATTGAAATCTGTGCCATAACTCCAGTTGACTTTAAAATAATCACAATGAAGCTTTTAGCTCATCTTGATAACTAATGCAGGCTACAAAACAGAAAGTGCCTCTGGATGTGTTGAAGCTTTTGGTGCATTCAGATATGTATTTCTAGGTGATGCCACAGCTTCATCAGCCCCACAGTGGTGTTTTAGGTGCCATCTAACCAGAAGCTTCCAAAGTCTCGTAAGATTCCCCATTACTGCTTAGCACTTTCTGAGCTACTTTTCCTGTCTTGGAGGTCTCGTCACCAGAAAAGGGTCATAGTTCGTTTGCTGTATTCTCCCTGTCTTGGACACTTACTACTGGTCACTGCTTTTTGTTCATGATTTACTTTTGCAGAAAAGCACATTTACTTCTGGATATGCAAAAGCCTTTTTACCTCATGTCTCCTTCATCCACAATTTTAATCTGACAAATGCTAGTTCATCTTAAAAGCATCCACCAACACGTGCAGACAGTGCATGCTCCCTTTTGTTCCTGTTAAGATATTCCTGGATGAGCCAGAATTCTCGGCAAGAGCTACCCAGTGCAACTGACCCGATGCTTCTGACATAAAAATGGCTGATAGTTGTAAAAACTGTGTTATGGGATGAATCGAGCCCTTCAGAGTATTAGTAGTGCCTCAACTTACGTTTTTCAAGGCTTCTGATTATTCTTTCTGATCCATATGACAGATGCATTAGTCTTATTCTTGCCTGACTGGGGAAAAAATAAAGAAGTATTTAGTTATTAGATTGATTAAGGCAGATGCAAAGATTAGTAGTTGATTTTTCTCTTTGTGTAGGTAGTGAAAGAATGGTATTCAGAGGAATTTCCTCTTGTTTGTTTCAAAGATCACTTATTAAAAACACAGATAATTCTCACTGAAACAGGGAGAGCTGCTGAGACTTGTAAAAAGAATAATATCTTTAAGGGTTCCCATTGGTAACGTCTGTTATGAAATATTAAGATATAAATATATATCTTTATCTTACAGAAATACATAGTTGTGATATGGAAGGACATTTAACTATACATTATTTAAAGCCAATCTTGATGAGCTGCATTCTGAGAAACTAAGAAACTGTTTTCATTATCTCTGCCCCACTCAGTCAATCCAATCTTTTGCACCTGGTTTTGGGTAAGTTGTAATGGCCCCCAGCTTGAGGACAGATGCCCCACTCTGGGTGCCTACCGTGAAATACCAAGGCAAAGTATCAAAATGGTTTCAAATCTTTGTGCTCCCAGTGCCTGCACTTTCAACGTCAGGCTAGTACGTCTTTACAATGTCTGTCTCACTCAGCCCATTCCTCAGCCTGGTGATTTACCACGATGCAGTTTGTCTTGTGCTTCTGGCAAGCACCGGGGGAAGGTAGCAGCCACTGACAGTGCATTTTTCCCAGTGTAAGTAGGTTTTGATTGACAGGGCTATAAAGCACTTGTGGAATATACATTTTTCCTTGGTTATTTCTTCCAGGAATACTCAATTAGTTCTCAGATCTGAAAAACAATTTCAGCACCTGTGCTAAGGAAACAGTCCCAACTGTGAAAATGCGTTTATGATAGAAAACACTCGGCTTGTATACACCAACCAAAGTGCCATTTCTTAATATATATTTATTCCCAAGTTAATTAAGTATGCTTTTCAATCTTTAGATTGAAACAGATCTCATCCTTCATCCTGTACATAGTCCTCTCTCAGAAACTGAAATAACTCAGTTAAAATGACACAACACTGAATTATAACACAGTTACAAAGATAAATGAGAGAGTAGAAGACTTGGACAAGGAAAAAGTGAGGTGAATTTAAATAAGATGGAGAAGCAAGGAGGCAAGAGAGAATACACCAGAGCTTCTCCAGATGGCAAAATCTGCAGGGGAGGCTCCTTGGCTGGCATCCATGCTATGGGCTGTGGGCAAGAAAGCCTCCCCAGGCACAGTAGCACCTGAGATGGCAACTCAATGAGGCATTTCTCTATTCAGCAGCCATTCTAGATAATTGCCTCCCTTGGATAGTTACTTGTTTCTGCATTATGTACTTCTGCATCTCTTTCATTATTTTCCTCCTTCCTTTTGTTTCCTTGCCTCAGACTGGCCCTGTCACTTCAAATTTCACATTTCCTTTCCATTTCAGCCATTCCTGTCTTCTCCTGTGCACTTCTCCAATCCTTTCCCCTACTTCTGTTACTTGTTCTTTCCCTATTTGTTGCTCTCTTTTCATTCTTCCCAGCCCACCATCGTTGAAGGAGACGATTCCCCTCCCCTCCCTTCCACTGCAAGCCAGGCCGTGGTCTGGCATCAGAAACCCTTCCTCGCTCCTGGATTGAGAACTGAGGCATTTGGGCTTTGGCACCTCCGCGCTGCTCACAGCTGGGACTGACAACAGATGTCACTTCCGCTGCCAGCTGCAGGCAGATGAGCAGCAGCTGCCCGGAGGGACAGACCTCCTGCATGGCAGCTGCTGGGCTGACACTCAATGCCTCTTACTAGCTGGAGTCAAGCTGCAAGCAGAGCAGTCCCGCTGGAGGGGGAATGATCTGCTCCAAGGTCAGGACTTCCCCTCCCCTGCTTCAGTAGCTGGACTTGGATTTGTGAAGTCCCCACCTAGTCAAGGAGCCAGATTTGCAAATCCATCTGAATGGCAGCAACAACAAAAAGGAAAAGAAGCCAAGTCCAGGTACAGCTTGCAGCCCTGGTGACTGGAAAAAGTGTGTTTTCACTTACCAACCAGTGGCTTTGCCAGGAGTTGCTCAGAGACAAAAGCAGAGGAACCCCATGATGCTGTCTTAAGCAGTTCCTTTCCACAGCAGAGGCACAGCCTGATTGAAGCCCCATTGAAGTCAAGGGGACTGAAAGTTCCTTGCAGTGCACTCAAGAATGCGTGGCATCTCCTCCCTCCAGCCATCTTCAGCTAACTCACACATAACTGTGCTGGTTATGCTGGGGTTTTATTACAATTATTATTATTATTGTGCTGCAGTTTTAATGTGTATTTATGCTGTGCTGAACTCCCTTGCCATTTGGTGGGGGAAACATTATGGTCTTGATTAATGCCAACTATATTCTGGAGTTTAGTTGTGACTAAAGCTTAAGCACAGGCCTATGGCACATGGGGCTACAGGGGCACTTCTGTCTAAAGCGCTGTTCAGAGTTTAAAGTCTCTGAAGGCTCACTCCAAATGCAGTGACAGGACAAGAGGCCTAAAAAGATGGTTTTGTGCATGGTTTAAGCTAGCCTGCAGGACTGGAGAAACCCTTGGCCTCTTCTGGACACTGTTTTGTCCCTCTCTCCTGCTAGCACTGACAGTTGTGCTGCTGTGTACCAGGTCAGTTGAGGAAGCTGAAAAACTTGATCTTGCTGGAAACTAGCCCTGCAAGAAGTGATTAGCTTTCACCAGTCACCAGGCGGGACAACTTCGGGGAAGGATGTACGTCAGGATTCCTGTTGCAAAAGGATGTTCTAGAGACATAAAGGTCTTCAGCCATGCAAGCATGGATCAGCCTAAACTGCCTCTCGGCTGCACTGTGGGCCACTAGATTTGTAACTTTGCAGTCTTGGATGCTGCCTATGTTGAGGGCAAGCTGACTATTTGTTGTTCTAACACTGTTATGCCCCTTCTGCAGACAAGGGTGTATGTGTAGGTGAAGCAAGAGAGGGTCAGTACAGTATATGGCCCCTCTGTTGTGCTGTCATGTGCAGCCTTTGTAAGCAGTGAAGTAAACCCTGGTTGTGTGTTGTGACATGCAAGCCTCTCTGAAAATGATACATCTGAAAATGCTAAGAGGTGAACTGCATTCCAGACCGGTAGGTCAGGATAAGTAAAGGAAGGAAGGAAACGAGGTGTCTCTCACCCCTTCTGGGAGTGGCTGCTTGCAGCAGATCAAAGAAGTATTCCTATTTCAAGAAAAGCTGCAAAATGCCTTGAGTGCTCAGCACAAAAGGCATATTACTTCTTGGGTTTGGGGTTTGTTCTTATTATTTAAAGCAACTGGCTTCACTGACTTTGTATTTATTTAATCCTGCTTTCCATTGTGCACCTTTATGTAGGCAGCTCTAGAGAAATGGAACGTGCAGGATTTGTCCAAAACTTCGCTACACTACAGCATGGCTACTTACGGGTAGTGTAAGAACGGGCATTACCGTGGCAGCACTGCACCCTCTGGTGGCGACCATCAATATTTTATCAAAAATCTTCCTCAAGTTGACGAAAGACAAGCAGAGGAATAGCCAGTATTGTGCTTTCCATCTTCACTGGTGCCCAGCAGTGACAACCTGAGGCATTGAGATGGGCTGAAAAAAACACTCAGCGTGGTATTGGACCCATATCAGCCCGAATGACTGCAGAGTGAATAACAACGATGTGACTTACAGAGCCAGCTGGAAAACACGCTTAGCATGTGGGTGAATGGAAAAATTGGGATTCATGCTAATCAGGCTGTGTGGGTGGAGGATGATGGCAAAGTAGTTTGTTACCGTCTGGGGCTCCTTCTGCCAACGCCTACCTGGCCCTGGGCTGGATTCTTGGTAGCAGTTTTTGCAGACCTATTTCATTCTTCTGAAAAGACACCCTGAGTGAGATTTGCTTCAGATTTTGAGAAAACCCTAAAATATAGCCCAAATGAGCAAGTTCTGGACAATTCTGTGCTCAAATTAGGAATCTTCAACTGCTGTTATAAATGATAATTTATACTATAGTGAAAAAAACTCATCTCTTTAATTTTGATTTATTTTTTTTTTTAATCTGAAATCCAATTTAATGAAAGCCTTATAAGCACCAGAAAAATAGCTGCACTGTACTATGATGGATGCGATCAGTGACTCTAGTAAGCATGAATGAATGGCTGGGGGCTTTCAAAGTGGCATTAAACAGGTAAATGTCAGCTCATGCTACATTAGCAGTCTTCTGTGCACATTAAAAACCCCATGTTGAGTGTGAAGTAAAATGGGAACTAAAATCTCAGTAAGAATTTACATTCATTAGATTCAGTGACAATAACAAAATGATTTCTAGTCCATGATTATCTTAAGAAATATCCTCTAGAGTAAATCTGGAAAGTTATGTTTTTCAGGTTTGTATTTTTCCCCAAGAAAGCAATCTGATAGATCCCTCAGAGGATGTTTCAGGGCTTAAAATGAGATAATGTAAATATTCAGTGTGGAAGAAATCAAACTTGTAGAATATTATCTTGCAAGTAATGCCTTGTAAGTAAAACACCATGTTACTCAGTAGCTCTTTCATGCCCTCTGCAGTTAAAATGCTGTTTTATGTCTGTGCAGTCAAATAGGGATTTTCCTGGTTATAGAATGTAGTACCTAGGGTTAATGAAGAACTGTAGAGCAGTAGATATTGTTGGGAA